AGCTAACATCGTACTTAACACTGAAAAGCTGAAAGCTTTTCCTCTAAGATCAGGAACAAGACAATGATGCCCTCTCTCATCACCTTTGTTCAACATAGTACTGGAGGTCCTAGCCATGGCAATCAGACAACACAAGGAAATAAAAGGCATCCAGATTAGTAAGGAAAAAGTTAAACAGTCCCTGTTTTCAGATGACATTATATTGTACATAAAAAAACCTAAAGAATCTACTCAAAAACTACTAGAACTAATAACTGAATTCAGCAAAGTTGCAGTATACAAAATTAATACACAGAAATCTCTTGCATTCCTATATACTAATGATGAACTAGCAGAGAGAGAAATTAAGAAAACAACTCCATTTACAACTGCATGAAAAAGAATAAAGTACCTAGGAATAATCCTAACCAAGGAGGTGAAAGACCTATACCCTGAAAACTACAAAAACACTCAGAGAAATTTAAGAAGACACTGATCACCGATAAATGGAAGTACATCTTGTGCTCACGGATAGGAAGAATTAAAAAATATTGCCAATATGGCCGTCCTGCCTAAAGCAATCTACAGATTCAATGTAATCCCTTTCAAAATACTAAAGCATTCTTCAATGAAATAGAACAAATTATTTATCTAAAACTCATATAGAACTACATAAAATCCCAAATAGCCAAAGCAATCCTGAGAAAGAAGAATAAAACAGGGAGGATTACACTCCCTGACTTCAAGCTCTACTACAAAGCCACAGTAATCAAAACAATTTGGTATTGGCACAAGAGCAGACACACAGATCAATGGAACAGAATAGAGAGCCCAGAAATAAACCCACACATATATATATGGCCAATTAATATATAATAAAGGAGCCATGGATATACAATGGGGATATGACAGCCTCTTCAACAACTGGTGTTAGCAAAACTGGACAGCTACATGCAAGAGAATGAAACTGGATTATTGTTTAGCCCCATCCACAAGTAAACTCAAAATGGATGAAAGACCTAAACATAAGTCATGAAACCATAAAACTCTTAGGAAAATACATAGGCAAAAATCTCTTGAATATAAACATGAGCAACTTTTTCCTGAAAGCATCTCCTCAGGCAAGGGAAACAAAAGCAAAAATGAACAAATGGGACATCAAACTAAAAAGCTTCTGTACAGCAAAGAACACCATCAACAGAACAAAAAGGCATCCTACAATATGGGAGAATATATTCTTAAACAACTTATCTGATAAGGGGTTAACATCCAAAATATATAAAGAATTCACACACCTTAACACCCAAAAAACAAATAACCTGATTAAAAAATGGGTGGAGGATATGACACTTCTCCGAAGAAGAAATTCAGATGGCCAATAGGCACATGAAAAGATGCTCCCCATCGCTAATTATCAGGAAATGCAAATTAAAACCACAATGAGATATCACCTCACACTAGTTAGGATGGTCAACATCCAAAAGACAAACAACAACAAGTGCTGGTGAAGATGCAGAGAAAGGGAAACCCTCCTACACTGCTGGTGGAAATGTAAATTAGTTCAACCATTGTGGAAAGCAGTATGGAGGTTCCTCAAAAAAAATGAAAATAGAAATACCATTTGACCCAGGAATTCCACTCCTAGGAATGTTCCCAAAGAAAATGAGATCCCAGATTCAAAAAGACATATGCACCCCTATGTTTATCACAGCACTGTTTATAATAGACAAGATATGGAAGCAACCTAAGTGTCCATCAGTAGATGAACAGATAAAGATGTGGTACAATACACAATGGGATATTACTCAGCCATAAGAAGAAAACAAATCCTACCACTTGCAACAACATGGATGGAGCTAGAGGATATTATGCTCAGTGAAATAAGCCAGGTGGAGAAAGACAAGTACCAAATGATTTCACTCATTTGTGGAGTATAAGAACAAAGAAAAACTGAAGGAATGAAGCAGCAGCAGATTCACAGACTCCAAGAAGGGACTAGCGGTTACCAAAGGGGAGGGGTTAAGGAGGGAGGGTTGGGAGGGAGGGAGAAGGAGATTAAGGGGCATTATAATTAGCACACACAATATGGGTAGGTCACAGGGAAGGCAGTATAGCACAAAGACAAGTGATGTCTCTATAGCATCTTACTATGTTGATAGACAGTGACTACAGTGGGGTGGGGGACACTTGATAATATGGGTGAATGTTGAAACCACAATGCTGTTCATGTGAAACCTTCATAAGATTGTGTGTCAATGACACTTCAATTTTTAAAAAAAGAAAAGAAAAATCAGAAGTTAAATATAAGAAAAAGAAAGTGAAAGACAAGCCATAGTATAGGAGAAAATATCTGCAAATCATGAATCTGAATTTCTCCAAAGATAATACATAAATGGACAATAGGAACACAAAAAGATGCTTAACATCATTAGGTATTATAGAAATGCCACATTAAGATACCACTTCACACCCACCGTATGGCTGTAACAAATAAGAAAGTTACAAGTGTTCAAAGATATGTAAAGTTTAGCAACTAGAAACTTAAATGGCAAAATGAATTCCCTTTAAGAAACAAAATTCAAAGAAGTTTCCTATCACCACTTTCTTTCAGCACTGTATTGAAAGTCCTAGCCAGAGTGACAAGAAAAAGAAACTACATGTATAAGACCTAAAAGAAATATTTCCAAGGGGTATGGGTAACTACACAAAATAATTTAAAACAAATATACACATTAACTAAAGCTCAGCCAGGTTACTAGATTTAAGATCAAAAGGCAAAACTAAATTGCAATGCAAAAAAAAACACAACAAAAACCAAAAAGCAGAAAAATTCTGTTTTCTTGCTTTGGCCCAGCTGCTAGAGGGTACATTAAATACTTCTGGGAACCCGAGAACAGAAACAAAAACAAATAAGATAGGTAATTACAAGTGTTTTGAGGATGTTGAGAAGTTGGAACCCTGTCTATTGCTTCTGGGAATGTAATACCGTGCAGCTGCTGTGAAACTGTAGAACACAATTTAGAAGTTCCTCAAAATGTTAATCAAAGAGTTATCATATGACATGGTAATTCTGCTCCTAGGTATACACCCAAGAGAAATTAAAACGTATGTCCACACGGTAACATGTACATGAGTGTTTATAGCAGCATTAGTCCTAATAACCAAAAAGTGAAAAACACCTAAATGTTCATCAATTGATGGGCATCAACTGATAAACAAACTGTGGTAAATCCTTATGAGGGAAAATCATTCCTCAGTAAAAGGGAATGAAGTCCTGACGCTCTGTGTCCCATATAACTTCAGTAATATTCTATATTTTTGTAATACTACAGTAAAACAGTTTTAGTGCATAAAAGAATAATGATATAAAAAGGTGTCCAAAATATATAGCTAATTTTTTAAAATAGGTTACAAAATAACATACACCAAGTTATCCATTCTTTGAGGGTCTATGTTTTTGTGTACAATGGCATAAATTATGCTTGAAGGGATAATCTTTTGCCAGTGCCCATCATGGATTTCACAGTGGAGACTCCTGAAATGTGTGATGTGAAATGTGAATCATCAAATGCTCAGAAAGGCCATGACTATTGTTTTATAAGGAGCAAGGTCAATATCACATGAAGTAGAAAAATCCATTTTTAGTCAGAAAACACTGAACTGTATTGTTTCAGGGAAAATTAAAAGAATGCTTGCTTTGGTGAAATATTCTTGCCTTTTAAGTGACTACTGAGGAAATTTCCTACAATTTTCCTAGTAAAAGGGGGATCTTGTATCAGAACACCCATTGTCTCTCTCCATCACGGGACCAAAGCACACCTCGAACTTCAGAGGCACCGAGAGAAGAACCTTCATTAGTATCTGGCCAAACACTCAAGAAGCAGAAACTTGGAGGGATGGGGTTTCCCCAGGAGAGTTAAGGAACCAGGAGACTGAACCCTAATCAGAGGAGGACAATGAGCATAGGGAGGGGTCAGAGCTGTAAGCAGTCTCAGTCTGACCAGCACCCAACTCTGGGAGAGCTGCCCCTCCAGGCTGAAGGCTAGATTTTCTGCAACCCCATCCCTGATGCCTGCAGTCCTCTGAGTCAAAGGTTCCTTGGAAACCAGCTTTTAGAATGGATGAGGGAGAGAATGCACCCTACAGAATTCACACAGATGGATCGGTAGGGCATAGGAAAGGACCAGTCCAGGACCCCAGCAAGTCAGGGAACAATTCATGAGGCTGGGGCAGGGACTTGGGAACCTTTAGATAAGCCATGCTGTACATCAGTTAGTCCCCATCAACAAGAGCCCCTCCCATGGCCACAGGGTCCTCTGTCTCCAGCACACACCTGGTAAGAAGAAATGAGGTCAGAAGGCAGAGCCTCTCTCAGCCCAATGCTGGGTGAGCTCTGCAGTCAGGCAGAGAGGCCACGGGATTAAAGGAGAAGGGCTAGAAAGAAACAGGGGCATGATTATCTCTGCTTTGGCACCACACAGATGACATGACATCAACAGCGCAGGCACTGTGCACTTCACAGACCGACAGACGTAATTGCCTCTCGGTTGCCCTCACACTCACCCCTCACACTCACTGCACGCATGCACACACACACGAGCACACAGCCTGGGGAGCACAGACACATAAAACTCAGAAGCCCTGATGGGCAGGTCCCTACGAGGCAGGCAAAGGGAGTGCTCAAGGGACCCCCCAGACACAGCCGAGGTCAGGCATGGTCCTTCCTGCACACTGGGAGCCTCTGGAACTAAACAGCTGCTTCTGAAAAAAAGGGCCACACTGGAGCGCCCAGAAACTGGTTCACCACAGCCTGGGATCAAATATCATTTCTCTGCAAAACCTGCTGCCATGACCAGATGACTCCCCACAGAAGAACCAATATTCACAATCAGTGTGATTCCTTTTGGGTCAAAAACCTATGGTCTCCACTGGGGCTTTGGCTGCATGACTCCAGGAACTTTCCCTTCACCAGGGGATCCACTCATTGACTGGCCCTCCCAGGATAGGCAGACGTCTCTTACCTTGAGCATCCACCATGGTGCTGAGGACAAGAAAACAGAGCCCCTGAAGAAAGGCACGTCCGTTCAAAGCCATCCTGACTCCCTTGTCATCAAAGGCACACTCCCAGCTGCAAAACAACCCTATGAGGATCTGGACAGCAAAGGTAGGGGCATTTATAGACACATCCCCTGACATCCTCCCTACTAACAGCCAATAGAGACCCCTTTTACCATCTCAGATGCTATCGGAGACCTCATCTCCCACTTTCTGAAGCTCAAACACCAATTAGATTCTGCATCTTGAAAAATCTCCTTATATGAGCAACATGGCCCTTTGACATCACATTTCCTTAGGTCCCTGAGATGGGGGCGCCTGTGATGGGGGTTGGGGTAAAAGTCGCATCAAAAAGCGTGATTTGCTTTCTCTCCCCTAATGGTCCTGGCCAATCGCCGCCAAATGTAAGATCTTTCAGGGTCTGGGTGCTGTGTTCAGTTACCCTTTGACCCGTGGAAGGGTTTTTTGGTATGATCATACTTTGTTCTTTTCTGTGACTGAGCTCATGGCCAAAGAAGAGACCAGAACCACAAGGAAGCCAGCAGAAATATGAAAATAATGATCAGGTCAGCAGAAAATGAAGACCAGCAGCATAGGAATTCACAGGTGAATGCAGAGGGTTAAGGTGGGACTCCTCAGTGGGGGAGGCGTGATTGCTGGTCTCTCTCCCCATCTCATCCTGATCTGGAGAGTGGGGACCTGGCTCACAAAGGGGGTCATAATATGAAGGGGCTTTGACAGAGTCTAGCTTTTCCCTTAGGGATCTTTCTTACCCCTAAGACCACTCTGTTCAGCCCACACGTCACCTGGGGATGAACCTCCTTTACTAGGGTAATGAGGAGCTGTAATCTACAAGGTATTTGCAGACTCTTTCTCTCTGTGCAGCTGCCGGGCCAGCAGTCCCAGTGCCAGTGCTCAGGGGTCGGGGAGCACGTGGCCTCTCTGCTCTGACTTTCTTCCTCCCAGACTAGTCCCTGGCCCACCCCCACCCCCTCCGCCTTTCTCATTTGCTCCAGCCGATTGGCTGGTCCACTTAACTCCATTTTAGTTCCTGCATCCACCATCCCACCCTTTCGGAATCTCTCTTAATTCATGGTTCACTGGGGCATGAATTCAACCCCAAATCCATCTTATCCTTGCTATCCTTAACACATGAACTAATTCCCTTTTCATTTTTAATGGTTTTGCCCTTAGTCACACCAGGGAAAGAAACAGGAGAGATGGAAAATACCAAGTGCTCACAGGTATGAATGCTCTCTGAGGTCCTGTGTGTGAGTTTCCGGGCACAGTGAGAATTGCTCATCAGCCAGCATCTGCTAAGCATCTACTCTACACCCCTGCATGTGAGCACCGGGCCCGGGGGCTGGAATAAAACAATGAACAGGCAGGCACTTTCCCCGAGCCACCGGAGCTTACAGAATAGCTGGTGGTGAAAGGTATTATACAAATAGGGACATTTAATTTATTCAGTAACACAATTTGCAGCAAGATGGATGGACCTAGATGGTGTTAGGCTGAGTGAAGTAAGTCAGAGAAAGACAAATACCATATGATTTCACACGTGTGGAATCTTAAAAAAAAATCAAACAAGCAAACAAACAGAAACAGACTCATAAACACAAAGAACAGACTGGTGATTGCCATGGGGGAGAGGGAGGAGGCTGGGTGAAATAGGTGAAGGGGAAAAGATTCGTGAGAATATTTGATATCTTGATCTGGGTGATGGTTACATGAGCATGTGTACATGTCAGAATTCATAGAGCTGTACACTAAGATTTGTGCATTTTATCATATCTGCCTCAGTCTTTTTAAATGTTCACTTAAAATAAATGAATAAATAATATTGTTTAACAACAGATGTGAAAAAGCCATAAGAAAAATAATTCAGTTTGTGATCACAGGTCACAACATGGCAGAGATGACAGGGAGGCGGACTCACTCACGGGAAGCTGCTTCTCTGGAGCGACATTTAAGCTGATACTGGTGAGTGAAGTGGAGCTTACCTGGAAACTCAAGTCCCTTATCTTACAATCGAGGCCCCTCCCTAGACCCTTCTCTTCCTGGTAACCTCTCCCTTTTTGAATTTTTACATATCGAAATTCTATTACTCTAGTTCTTTGCCCTATTTCAACCATACCTGTCCTTCAACTCATCAATACCTGTAACACCTCAAATCTCTCTTTGTGCTTTAGGTAGAAATGCACTAAGAATTGGAGAAAGAATTGAAGACAGGTATTTGAGTTGACTGGGCGGGCGGGAAGAACCAGAGCCAGCCCTCAGGGGGGCCGGATGAGTGAACTTATTGGGAGCAGTGAGCCAGAGTGAGAGAGAAGGGGAAGCTTCCACCTGCTTCAGATGTGTGGAACGCCACAAGGAGCGATGGTGCTGAACTGGCCCTACTGTGTTCACGTTTCACTGTGAAACACGACCTCCCATAGACGGTGCCTCGGTGATGTCATGGTAGCAGAAAGAAGATCCAGCCAGTAGGAGCCTAGGCTGAGGAAGAAAGTGCATGGAACTCTCAGGTTGAGGCAGAAACTACTGCAGAGGTTAAATACAGCTGTAGAATCTGCATTAATCTGTCCCCTCACCGAAAACAGAGAGAGAAACAGTGGAAATCTGATGGCAGAAAAAATGTAAACACATCTCCCTGCAAACTGCAGGCTTACAGTGGAACGAGCTTGGTCCAGCTGTCCCCCACACTGCTATTCCCTTAGGAGAAGCTGTCCCTTCGTCCACCCGGCCAGCATCAGAACTGAAACAAGGCAGTTCTCTGTCAGGCAGGGTTTCAAACCCACTGCCCTCTTCCCTGCAGGGTTACCTGGTGCTCCTTTACAATCACACAGAATCTTTGTGCCCCAGCCAACAGGATGGTAACACAACCCTCTTGCTCCAGCTCACCCTCATTGTCACCCATAGAGCATGGATGGGACCCTAACATTGTATCCGCTGTGTTCAAGGAGTCCACTTAACATTCACAGACCCAAGTCTCATCAGCTCAGCACCCTGCACAGAGGGCTCTCTCATGCTCCAGTGCCTGGAGGTGAACACAGGGGCCAGCCTACATCCCCCTGGATGGATCAGAGGTACATCCAGCACCACCAGCCCCCAAGTTCCGCTCCAGCTGGACCACTCCCCCAGTGTTCCCACAATTGCCTCTCATCTTCACTAACAGGTCTTCACTGATGTTCATCCGGGATGAACATCCTCTGAAGCCGTGGAGCCAACCTGCAAGGCTTCCCTTCAAGCCTGGTCAGAGGAGAAGGACCCCGCGGGCATCAGACGGCAGCTCCAGCCTTTCCTGTCCCTCTGGCCCACAGAGTGGCGGGGGAACCTAATACCCCGTTTCCACTGCACAGGCAAGTCCCAACCACTCACTTCCATGTTTTGACCCTTTTTCTCAGCAGCCCACTTCTCTCCACCCAGTCACAAGAGGAACTACATCCAGTTTAATGGCAAAAGTGAAAATCCTCAGGACTTAGTAAATATTCCTGTTCAGAGGCAGTTCCTTTATTGGATGGGATGCATAGGGTCCACCAGTCCTCAGAACATTCTGCTTCTTCTCTTAACTGCTCGTGGAGTGCATGGCCCTGGGTTAGGCCCGTTCCCTCACTTGGCTCCTCACTGAGATCCGGGCGGGGTGGGTGGGGGGCAGAGACAGGCCTTGAGCTTGAAGATAACCTGTTAGAACTCTGAGCACAGAAAAAATAAACACAGAATGTACTGGAAAGACCTGAGGTGAATCACTGAGCCACTGAACCAGAGGAACAGCCTCTGGGTGTGGCAGCTGGGACCAGCCACTGGCAGGAGCCTCTGCACTGGCCGCTCGTCTGTCCAGGCTCTAGCCCGGCTCCATCCTTGTCTATGCAGACCAACTGCATCCCCTACCTACCCCAAAAGGCAGAGAGCACATGATATAGTCTTGTTGGAATGGAAGGTACTTTCATATTTGCTGGAAGACAGGTTTGTCAGCTTGCAAAGCTTAAGGACATTAAATCTTCCATTTAAATATCCAACTTCCCCAGCTCATTTAAGTTTTCAAAAATGTCATACCAATCCCTCCTTTTCCCTTGTGGGTTAGAAGATGCTTTGGTCTTATTCAGGTGATACCCAGCCCATCTGGCAGTTGCATTTCCCAGTGTAAATTAATAAAAATGGTGCTCTGATTTAGAATTTAAATTTTTGTGAAGTGTTGCAGTTAGTAGACATATCCTTTGAAAATGTACATATTAGCAATTAGTTACCTTAATGCTAATAATTATCAGTAATTATCAGAGAGGAAAAGGAAGAAAAGAATGAAGATAAGGAGGAAAGTGAAAAGAAAATTCCATGTCTTCATTTTCATAGAATTAATGTTACTATAAAAATCTTTTCACATATATTTTGTCCACAGGTCAGATTATTTACTTGTCATAGATACCCAGAAAAGGAATTATTATTATTATATTTGTGAGAATGTGAGAAAGGAATTTATTACTAGTCAAATGGCAAAAATATTATGTTTTTTACTATATTGCCATGCAGTACATAGAAATCTATTATTCTTCTCTGAATCAATCAACCTTCTTGAAGGAGAAGAAAGAATAATCCCAGGGAGAAAGCATAAACCTTTCTGCTTCCTCCCACTCCAGGTCTAAGTCAATATCTCTTCCAAGAGTGGCGGACTGGGGAGTATTTCCGTCAAAGGAGATTCTGGTGCTGGTGACCACCCCCAACACTTTCCCAAGGCTCACTGCCAGCCCTCCATCAAGACCTGGGGTCTTTACATAGTCCTTGGTGGGTTCTAAGTTTCTGAGTTCCAAGTGCCTAAGTGATTAATTTTTTACAAAGAAATTTCAAAGTCAAATTAGCCCACTTACTCTATCAGTGGACTTGCCCCATGTGTGAAAACAGCTTTTACTGGGTGCAGCTTGTCTTTAAGGTGAGAGGTTCCGGGTCTCCAGGTGCAGGTCATAGGACCACCACAAGATGGCAGCGCTGGGAATGACAAATTTCTGGAAACTAAAGGGGCCAAGTGAAATTTAATGGCTTATTTTTTCAAAAAGATCATATTATCTATTTCATA